GAGTATTATAAGGAGCGGAAAGGGAGATGCTGTGTAGTAAGCCAGCAGGTAGTTCTGTCATGACATACTTTTCACAGTCTTAGGTTGATCACTAAAACACTATTTACTAGCCAGGGGAACGTTGTGGATAAGGAAGTTGTCTATGACCTGGTTTTAACTGTGTGATTTACCCACTGCCTTATGTAGGAGGCTGTGTGGAGCCACACTGCCCATGGGATTTACATTACAGTCTCTAATAGGCCTAGAGCCATTACAAGGGCTCACAAGTCATCACTGCCTGTTAGGTGTTTGGCCAGTGCCACGTGACAGGTGATGGTCGCGGTCTAATCTCCAATGGGAGAGGTGGCATGTGAGCAAGAAAGCCTATCGTTACAATTGAACTACAAAGATTATATCACCTCATGGTATAGTTCTAACAGAGACCACCTTTAAGCTTGGGTTTCCTTTGCTGGTGCCTGTGTGCGGCAGTGACTGGTCAACAAAGATGAGACTGAGAGTTGTGCTCAGTGTTGGCGTTTTCCGGAGCAGGTTCGATACGTGTTTTGTGGGTAGCAGAGGGAAGCACACAGACCTCAGAGGCCTTTACTTCACTCTATTGCATAGAAAAGAGAGAAGAACTGTGGTTACAGCAGCTGTTGGTGTGAGCAGCTCTGCTTCTGGCTCATATGGTTTTATTGCAGACAGACCTCACTATATTAAATGTTTTTCTTAAAACTGTGAAGTTGGATAATTATGGAAGAATCATCTACTTAAAGTGGTTTTCAGCTTTCAGAGATGCAGAGAAAAGCTTGAAAACATGAACTGTTATGATTGTAAAGATTCAAGTATAAAGACCTCCCTCAAAATATATTTTTAAAAAATAGCATGATATTTGTTGAAACAGAGTGGGTTAACAATAATGCACTCATCATTAACCCCATACACATTCCAGATACTGAGAAATAAAATGGGGATAATTTCTTGACAGCTATTAACAGGTTTATTGTCTGTCTGAGAATATATAATGATCATCAGCACACCTCCATAGCAGAGCTGGCTCTAAAAACAAAGGCTTCTATTGAAGCTGCATATAGAGAAGCATTTTGATGCTTCACTCCTTTCCAATAGCAGACTGCGTGGTTGTGTATCACAGCACACCTTCTCTCCAGTGTATAGATCCATTGATTTTATGAGCTGGGTTACAATACCGAAATTACTTTGGTCTACACTTACCCATTCCTGGTCTCCACTTTGTTAATCCAATCCACAGATGACTTCTTAAGTGTCATATATAGGTCGTTTATCACCTAAGAACAATGTAATGACAGATGATTTAAGGGAAAAAAAAAAACTTTGACATCCATTTTTCACTACAAAAATGAAACTTGTGCGAAGTCACTTTTCATTTGCCTGCAGAAAAATAGGTTGGCTTTAGCACATTAAAGAAATTCATATATTGCTGTGTACAAAACTTCATTGTGTTCCACAGGCTTGTACACTCTCCCACCATGGAAAAAAAGCGTGTGTGGAGCACCACTGTACAAAAGCCACCTGGGAAGGGGATATGTTGCATGAGTGAGGCAAACATTCATTGATAGAAATACCTAGCACTGGGACAAGTTGGGCTTAACGATCAGTAGTGTTCGTAGTCTTCTCGCAACAGACCACTGCTACAGTAGACCTGCCTCTTGAGCGAGCCGTTCTTCTGAGGTCGCTGATGCACACGAATCATTGCTTGAGAACATGAGCTACCTCACATTGCCTTGCTTCTCTTGGTAGCAGCTTAATTCCCAGGTGGTATGAAGATCTCTTGTATATAGGTTGCAGATTGCAGCTGAATGTTGTTTGAGGACATGTTAATTTGCAAAGAATAATCACAGTAGCAGTTTATAGCAGATATACATATTGCCACTGATACTATTTTTATGCTATTTTCTGCTTCCTGCCGTAGTGCACACTCAGGTTGCATGCAGATTGATCACGTCTCCTCTCCCGTACTGCGTGTGGAGGTTGTATTGGATGTGCTGGAAATGACCACCTAAGTAGCCTTTTTCATTTTGCTCAGCACTAAAGTAATTTTTGGAGCTTTTATTTTCAGTTCCCCTCTTTTTTCCATAGTGTAAGTCATTGGAACAGAAATGCATGTTGCCAGCACTTCAGCATGGGTTTCCACAACCTGAAAATGCATGATACACTGCAGCAGCGGAAGGATAAGGATGAGGAAAAAGAGGAAATCTATTCTTTCATTTCCCAATTTAAGAAAAAAGGAAAAGAAATGTTTGTTGTGGGGCGCAATGTAGTGCATTACAACAGTCACGTTTTTTGTTTGGAAGCAGTTTTAGAGCCGGTGGGCTAATTCAGCTCCAAGGACCGTTTGATCCAGCAGGGAAGAATTCCATCAGAAGCTAAGAAACCATTTCAGCTTTGCCTCTGATGTCGTGACAAAATGTTAAAAAAGAGACTCTAAAATCTCCCAAAGACACGTCACCTCTAGATCTCATAGCTGTTAGCAGAAGCATTACCTGAGTCTTGCACTGCTTCCATTCTGAATTGATGGGAAGGCTAGCAAGTTCAAATACACGGATGATTAAAACAATGAAGTAGGACAATCCTCATAGTTCCGTGACTTAATCCAGTATTATATTTCATTTCAAAATAAATCAGACGGAAACAAAGTAGTTATAACCAAAACTTTGGGTTTCTGTTTTTCCTAGACATTTGAATACTTTGAAATTCCCCACAAAATGAGAAGCAAATAAGAGGTTGAGGGATGATGTGCTGTGTTGAACTGTCCAAGGTCACCAACAAGAAACCCTAAAATAGGCCAGAAATGAAATTGTTTCAGTTACAGGCCAGTGCCCTGTTCACTAGGCCGTGTTGTCTCTCTGTGAAATGCCAGAGTTGCTATAATCCAGTTTACCAACGTTGTAACCTGATGTTGAGTCATTTCCAAAATATCCACTGAAATAAGAGGAACAAGAGCTATGCACAACCTACTCTCAGGATATGGCTCATATTTATTAAGTTTATCCAACAGGAATCCTTGTTAGTGCTAGTTCTGCTACGGAGTTATAAAAGTTAACTGTGTCTGCTTGAGAGAGCTGTATCTGGAACCTAGCTCTTCCATTTCTAGTAAACATTTTTTGCTACTGTTTTTTGTAATGAGGATATTCTTTACAGATTGCTTGTCTCTAGATTTGTAGTCTGTCTTGAGGAAGGATTTTACCTTTGCGTTTATACGGCAAGTAACACTGATCTTAACTGGAGCTTATGAACATAACAGTAACATAAATATTTAACAGTTAGAATAGTAATAAATAACACTTAAGAAATACTTGTCCGCAAGGCTAACAAATTTCTGTTCAGAAAAGACAAAGGTTTTGAAACCCTATGCAGAGATCATCTTAACTTATTTTCTCTGGAAAATAACCTTCAAATCATTGAATTATTAACATTTTTTTTCTTTTAAGTGTTCATAGTTCAGCTTCTGTTCTTACCAAAAGCCTGAAAGCTTTTAACCTGATTTTTAATGTAATTTAAATTAAACTACGCTTACAAAATTATTGGTAGAATTGGAACGATCTTAGCTCAAGTTTCAGGTAACTTTTGATCCATATTTTATCCATGTTTGTGTGGTTCTCCCTGCCTTAAGAGTTTAATAAATTTCAATATCTGGAAATCAAAACTTCTGTTACTGTCCCGATGGAATCGCTTGGTATGTGCTACGGGTCTTAAATAACAATGGCTACTGACAAATATTTGTACACCTCTAAATGAACAATCGTATGCATTGGCTTTAGGACCCCCCCACCCCCATAAGTAGTTTTGATAGTTACTTTAGAATGTCATTTAAAGTGTACACGGGAACCTGAAATCTTTTCCAAATATTCTTAGACGACGGATGACTTCTAAAAGTATAAATAAATGTCAGTTGGCTAACCTGGGTGGAATTCTTCTGTTTGTGAACTTGGAATTCAAATCACTGGGGAAAAGAACTGTATGTACCAAAAAAAAAAGAAAAAAAAAGCGCGCTGCAGTAAGCCATGACCTCATTACTATGGCCATGAACTATTACTTGACTTCTGCAGGCTTTCTGTACAGGAAAAAAAAGGTCCATAAACACTTTTCTATACAGAGAAAAGTCTGCAGAAGTCCTCTATACGGAGGATATAGTCTGTTATGCAGAGAAAATTAGTTGCTGTAGCTGACAAAGCTGAATGAAAGTTCTATATCCAGTTGATTGGGTCAGCTCTGAAATGGTATCGTGTGAACTTAAAAAAAAAATAAACTTTGAATGACACTGCTTTGTACTCAGGAAGAAAGAGGGCAGGGACCATGCGCTTCACCTTCTTATTAACGTATTTGGAGTATTACCTGATTCTGGCTGCAGCCCTGCCTGAAAAGCAGAAAATGATTGATTTAAAATCAATGATCATTTAAGATTGAGTTTGAATCAACAGTAAAATTGCAGAGTAGTACTCCATTCCATCTTGCAGCCTTTGTGCGGTAGCTGCTTCCAAAGCAATGGAAGATTGGCTTCCAAAGCCACAATTTGCTGCAAAAATCATGGGTCTTCTGGCCACTTGCAGGAAAAGTTTCTGGGTATAATCATTTGTGGGACTGCGTGAGTAATTAGGGGGAGCTCTGCAGACCTTTCTTTTGCATGAAAGAATTATTTTCAGATTTGTATGTTTTCATTGTAAAATTCACACTGTTCTGTATCTGTTTTTTAGAAGGGTATAGATAAGTACTGGATTATTACTTAGTAGTGCTTTAAAAGAAAAAATATTACTGAAATAGACTATGAAAAGAAATCTAGTGATGCTTTTTAGAAACGACATAACTTCTCATGAAATACTGCAATATCTGTGTGCTGGAATGCACAAGACATTAATCATGACAATCTTTTTATAGGTTTTGTCACAGAGTAACTTTTTAAATAAATAATCAAATATTTTAAGTGGAAATGGTCATCTTTTTTCAAATATAGATGTAAAACATTCATTTATTTGTTTTCACAGACTTCCTTATATCATCACTCTTCAACAGACAGAGGCCTGGACAGGCCCTCTAGGTAAGAAATAGTAATTTCAGTAGACACAGATGATGCAGCCTGAGAGTTTTTTGTGTGTCCTCCAGCCAGCAGATGTTGAAAAGGCTCAGATTTTAACATCTGACTCGTGAGATGTTGATAAAATACAGAGATGTGTGGAGAGGATGTTCCTGTTTTGATAGTGAAGTGCAACTGTTTCTTTGTTTTATAAGGACCTACTGCTTGCTTTCAAAATATGCCACTCCATTTTGGATCTTTCCACTGACATCCCTGAGCTTCTGTCTCAAGTGATCTATAATTTAACCTTACTGCTTTGCAGTACCTTCAGCGCTGTTCCCCTAAGCGCATGCTACCTCATCTGTTCTCTGTCTTTTTCTCATCTTTGTGCTGAACTTCTACCCCAGTATTAAAGGCAATCAGGCCCTCACTGTTCAAATTTTCTCTATAGCTGACTTTTTGTAGAGCTTACTTACGTTAGTCTAAGTTTAGTCTGTTATTACCTATTTGTAAAAGTAACTCCTCTAATATATTCAGCGTCCCGAACGACCAATATATTTCACTTGTCTGTTTAGGTCTCCGTTTTGTTCAGTTATCTCAATAGCACAAATCATGTCTGACCTTTCACAAGGGTTTTCTTTAACGGTGGTCATCTTAAATTTACCTTGTGACTACTCTTCCCTGCGAACCTCAATCACTCACCAGCTGTGTTGCCAGCAAAAGACAAGATTCTTCACACTTCCCGGGAAGAGCCTAGTGCTGTTTCAGTGCTAAGAGTGGTGGGCTTCTCCTAGCAGATTAAAGCAGCAGCAGGATGGGATACTGCCAGCATGGTAGAACATAAAAGCCAAATGCAAAAAAACTGTAGAAGCACAGAAAAACATGAATGAAAAGACTTTTCAATCAACAAATGGCTTTTAATGCAATTGGACAATTTTATTTAAGTAAAGTATGTTACTGCAACTTTAACCAAATTGATACAGAAATGCTTGAGCAACCATTCGTTGTTGATACTGTAGAGTATTTTAGAAGATATGGTGCCTTTATGTCAAAGCCTTCACTATGAAAATGATGCAGCAATTTTGAATAAATCAGGTGAAGAATTCAGTTTTTTTCTGTGAAACACACTGTAAGAAATTTGAGAGAAGTACTTCTCCCCTTTACCTATTTTTTATGTATTTGTTGGCAATGCTTAATGTATAAAAAGAATGACATAGCTATGGGTTTACAGCTTTTATAGCTATGTATATTGATAGCTCTGAGTTTACTTTTTTGATTCCTGATGAGTTCTGGTCTCAGAGGTAAGACCGCTACTAACATTGATTATTTCTGTAGTTCTGCAAGTACTGCGAGTGACTATAGAAAAAGGAGGAAGTCAGAACCTGCTGTAAGTCATCAGAGGGTGCACAGTGACCAGAACGCAAACAGGCCTAGCCTGGGCCGTACAGATACGCAAGGCCCATATACCACCCTTAGAAAGCCTGTAACTAGTTCTTCTCCTTCTTCTCCATCACGAGCAAAAGGTAAGAGGAAAGCATATCTATTAACAGACAACTGCCGATGATATATTGTACAATACATTGGTAGTACATGCAACTGTGTACTGCTGCTCAGCCACACTTTGCTGGGAGGTTTATTTGAAGAAAAACTTTCAGTCTTTCATGAAAGGTTAATTTTATTTATTCTTAGATGTGTAATTTTAAGCTATTAAAAGTTGGATTTGTAAAAAGTGTTTTTGTTTCAACTGCTCATTCTAAGAGAAGAAAATTGGTTAAATGAAGAATATGATTTGTACTATTATAGGTAAACTCATGAGGCATTGGAAACTGCACTGTTTCCAATATATACAGAAAGTCAATTAAGACAAATGGTATCTAAGATTTAAGGATGTTTTTGCATAGTAGTAAAGCTTTTAAATCTGTAAGTGATGTCTTAGACTTTGTCAGTTATCAGGACCTAATTTAAGCAAGCAAATATCCATGGTCTGATAGTAAGAGTTTTGGTTTTGTAAATCACATACAATATAATTAGTTTCCTTTTTTTAATTACCAATCTTTCCATTACTGTCCTTCACGTCTCTTCAGAAAAGAGATACCTGAATCAGGTTTTTGTTTTATTTGCTTTTTTTTTTAAGCAAAAGAAAAGATTTCTAGGCAAATACATGGTGGAAGCAATATACAGAGTAGTAGCTATTATAATAGCTCTCCTTACCTTTAATTTATTATTATTACTTCACTTGCTGTATTTTGTATCTACACTTCCTGGTCAGCCTACAGGTGTTATTAGAGACTGTCTTAACCTTTGTGAAAGACAGTCCCTTCTCAAAGAAACGTAATATCTAGGCTGCAACAGAAAGCATCAAACAAAGGAAAACATGAGGAATATCAGGAGTGAAGCGATGAAGAAGCAGATGTATTTTAAACTCAGTGATTTAGTGGTAATTTAAAAAGTGGGTAAACTCATCTATTTGGTGTACCAGGCAAGGTAGGGAACAGTTGGTAAATTCCATTTACCTGCATTTACCTTTGACTACACCACTGGTAAGGAGCACCAACCATGACTTCAACTTCTTGTGTCCTTCCCTTAATATAACTTTTGGAAGCTGGCCTAGCTGTATTGCTCCATTTTCTCATAATGTGATGAAACCTACTAGAATGTTACTGTTTCTTGGAATTAACCGTTCTTTTAAACAAGAAGCACGTTATGTTTGGGGTTTTTTTTTTAGGTATTGATCAATACTGAATTGAATTAGATTATAGATAGGTCTGAAACAAAAAAATCTAGATCAAAACACAATGAAAAGTGTTTGATTTTCTGATCCAGATTCAAGGTGTTCTTCTGTTTAAAGTAGATTGAACTTGTTGAAGCATGTATCCTGAACTGAATGTTGGCACTTGAGACCATTTCTTATAGTTCATTTCTAATATGAAGGAGAGACCATAGCTTCAGGCCTCTCTCCTAGAGCTAGCCTTGCAAGCTGAGAGATTTTTTAAATGTTCCTTACCCATCTATTTGCCGAACTGTCACTGCCTTTTGACATGTCTGGGGCTAACCACTTCTGGAAATGCACACTTTGAAACTTGCCCTTCTTTCTTGTTCAGTACAACAGAAGTAGAGTTCAGGTGACTTCCTCTGCCAGTCTTGAGAGGCTAAGGGGATTAATAAGTAGCCAAACATAATGTATTTGTCTTTATAATTGTCATTACGTTTGGAAGGATAAAATAACTTTAGTGTCTGTTAGTAAGATTTCTGGCAGGCTAAATTAGTGTCTTAGAAGTAGATGTCAGTTAGTGACAAGTGAATGATACAAGCTGAAATCCAAGCTTAGGTGGTCTTAATTGTGGCCACAGCCATGCGCAAAGTAAGCGCTGTACTAACTAGAGAATATGACAGGTTACAGCAAAAACTCATGGCAAGCTTTACAAAAAAGATAACCTAGTTAGTGGGACTTTGGTAGGCTTTCTGGAGGAAACTGCAGAAACTAACAAATGTATTTTAAGAGAACTGCGGGATGGCTTATACTGTT